ATACATATAAAATAGTTTCTAAATGAACCTTTTGTGAATAAACCATGGGCCTCATGATTCTTTACCAGAGCTGGGATTAGGATGAGGTGAGTGAGGCAGAAAATTTAAAGGGTCACCAAAAAAACTCATTCATCAAAATAAATGTTTTAGTGCAATATTTTAAAATTCAGTGTTAAATAAAAAAGCCTGTGATGACTATAACATTAAAAATTTTAAAGAGAAGCTGTTGTTTGTTTTATCACCCTGCATAACTGTACAATGATAATAGTGTTTCCAATCGGCCTGCGGTTGTGGGACATGTAGCTGTTGGGTTTTAGAAGAATGACAATGGCTTTCAAACAGATTGGGCAATATGGGCTTTATATATACTCACGTGTTTTGGTTGTAGAGCTTGCATTAACTTTTTGATGCAAAATGTGCACATAGGGGCACACATGTCTCCATTTGTATCATGCTCCCACATGGCCCTGCACTAAACACTTCAGTGTGCATCTCCCAAGAACACAGAGATTCTTCTATATAACTTGGTGCAGTGACCATAAGCAGGAAGTTTGACATAGATGTACTATGATTATCTGATATACGTCCATTTTAAGTTCCCATGATTGTGGCACTGATGTCTTTTATGCCTTGTCCCCTGTCCCCCCCCCAAAAAAAAAAATCAGGATCCAGTAAAAGCTTATGCATTACATTTAGTTATCAAGTCTCTTTATTCTCCTTTCATCTAGAAAGCCTCCCCCACTTTGTCCTTCACACCATTGACATTTTTGAAGAGTCCAGCTCCATTGTTATGTAGACTGCCTCTCAATTTTTATTTGCCTTTTTCCTCAATACTTCATCATGCCAGATTTTTAAAAACATATCCTTGTTCGAGTCTTATTGTACAGCTAGATGGAATAGGAATGAGTGACTGCTTTGTAATGAATGATGTTGCTTTTTAAAAGTAGCAACATAAGATATCTCAGTGTGCAGAGCCAGTTATGTGAGAACAACTGAAACAGATGGGATTTGTTCTGGAAAAGTAGTTCATTCCAAATTATCAGAGGCAATGTATTACTTTTAGGTTTTAGAGATTTTGTGCTAGAAAAATTGCTGACTAAAATGACAAGGGGTTTCAGCTCCTGGGCCAGCTTTGGCTGATTGGAGGTGACATTCAAGGCCTCCCAAGGCCTCAAGAGGAAAGAGTCACCATTAATAATGTCTGCAATGGACAACTAGATGAGGGGTGGGGATGAGGATGCGGCTAGTGTTAGGACTGTGTTAGATAAGAAGTGATTGTGGCCTTATGCTGCTGCAGGCCATAATTCTTACCTAACCTGGGCCAAGTTTCCTGAACATGCAGACATAAAACATCGAGGACTGACTAGAAGTTGGTAAGATTGTTTTCTTGTGGCTCACTGTAACTATTTTTCTATAAGCACAGCTCATACTTACGTAATTCAACTCTATCCTCAGACAGATCTTTAAAAATGCATGAGCTTCTATTGTAATGGTTTTCTAATTTCCAACTAAAAGAACTGTTGTTAAATGGTTAAAAAAATTAGTTCCCATCCTCTAATATTTACAAGTATTGATCAACATTATAAATATAATAAGATTAAAAGCTGATTAACTCCCTCTCAGGTACTAAGGGAACAACCTGGAAATCTTCTTTATTGTCATTTTGGACAATAGACTTAAATTTGAGTATGGAACAACCTTATCTTCTTGGAATTTAATTAAAGGTAAATAAAGAAGCTGTACTATGAAGATTTTACTCAGAAAGAAGGGTGATGGCATCCAGCTCCTCCATTATGCCCCTTTGTTAACTCCTTGTCATACAGTCTAGTTGAGAGTAAATTTCTCTTTCTTTTCCAAATGCATGTTTTATTGTTCTTCATATCTTTCCTGTTGGAGTAGTGAACCATGTATATGCTAATGGACTTCTCAGTTAATTCTGCAAGTAGAGCTTAAGGGCAATTTGGCATTGCTGATCTCAATTTTAAGTGGACACCCTTCTTTCAAATTGAAAATTTTATTGAGATCATTGTAAATTCACATGCAGTTGTAAGAAATAATATGAAGAGATCTCCTGTGGCTTTGCCCAGTTTTACTTTTGCAAAACTGTAGTATAATATTGAAACTGGGCACAATGAGTCTGAGGTCGCCTGTCACTACTTGAGCCAAATTAAGCAGACAGGGTTGAATCATATATGAGTGTTTATTCCAATAATGCCGGCAGTATGGGAGAGCACTCGGTCACTCTGGAAATTCAGCTCTGACCCCTCTTGTTGGTTGGTTGATTATAAACATAAGAAGAAGAAGATAGCTACGTGCAGCTGCGAGCTGCAAAGTGTAACATGGAAAGGGGAGGATAGGGTCTGCAGCCCGGCTTTCAGGAGCTCAAAGACTGATAACAAGGTAGCTAATCTTCTATGATGTTACAAACAGATCAGCCCGTTCCTGGGACCAGAGCATGGTCAGCATTCCTGAGAAAACTGGAGGGGGTTAGGCTCTGGCAACAGCAACAAAATCAAATCATGTCCTGTCCTTGTTCTGTTCTCAAAATGTATTTCTTTTCTGAATAATGGACCCATTGAGGCATCTTATCTTTTTACAGCCTTGTTTCGTCCTCCGGCTTCCCAGGGTTTGTAAAAAAACTTCTCCTCTATAGTTAGTAAGGTGAATAATTATTAGACAACTGTGGCTCTATTCTTAATTACGTGCCCTTCCCCACTACCAATATCACAACTAGGAAATTATTCTACTAATAACACATTCTACTAATCTCGTTCAGAATTCTTCATTTTGATTTGTACTCCTGTGTGTGTCTTTAGTTCTAGAGAAATTATCACGTGTATGAACACACCTTTGACTCAGTATTTCCACTCTTAGGAATCTCTCCTCCAGAAATATTTGCATGTGTGCACAACGCTGCATGTAAGGAAATAGGGACTCAGTATTTTTGTTATCCTATATAATAGAAGGGTAATATGCAAATTGACCCTAACAGCAGAATGACTGGGAATGACTGGTCACTATGACACACACTGACCACCAGGTGCTCAATGCAGGAGATGCCCCTGATGGTCAGTGTGCTCCCACACGGGGAGCTCTGATCAGCCACAAGCCAAGCTGACGGCTGCCAGCACAGTGGTGGTGGCAGGAGCCTCTCCCACCTCCTCGGCAGCGCTAAGGATATCCGACTGCAGCTTAGACCTGCTCCCCGCTGGCAAGTGGACATCCCCTGAGGGGTCCCGGGCTGCCAGAGGGATGTCTGACTGCCAGCTTAGGCCTGATCCCCTGGGGAGTGGGCCTAAGCCAGCAGGTGGACATCCCTCAAGGGGTCCCAGACTGTGAGAGGGCACAGGCTGGGCTGAGGGACCCCCCCCCGAGTGTACACATTTTTGTGCACCTGGCCTCTAGTCATAAATAAAATGGTAACATTCTACCTTCATCTTTGGGAAATGATAAAATACTTTTGGAACAATATGGGATACCTCCAGTGGTGACTAAAAACAGGGACGTGGTTCTATATGCTGAAATGTAAAGAGCACCAAGAAAAAGAACTATATGATAATACTAGAAACCTGTTACAGGAGGATTCCTGCAAGCATAGGGCTTCCTTGGGCTGATCGCGCCGCCCAGCCCCTCCGCCCAGGGCCGCAGACAGGGGTCCCGGCTGTGGGCGGGGCTTAGGCGGCACACGGGGACCTGGATGGCAGCTCACGCTGGCCCACCCTGCCTGCAGTATGCAAATTAGCCGCCATCTTTGTTGGCAGTTAATTTGCATGGCTGCACACAGGCATCCCAGCTGGGGGCCGGGCTTAGGCAGCATGTTCATTCCACCAAGCCCCTCTGCCCAGGGCCGCACACGGGGATCCCGGCTTGAGGCAGGGCTTAGGTGGCACACAGTGGCCGGGTGGCGGCTTGCACTGGCCTGCCCTGCCTGCAGTATGCAAATTAGCCGCCACCTTTGTTGGCAGTTAATTTGCATATCGCACTGATTAGCCAATGGGAGGCATAGCAAAGGTATGGTCAGTTACCATGTTTGTCTATTATTAGGTTAGATAATTATAATTATGTGAAAATTACAAGGGGATAAATGTATATGTATACATATGTATACATGGAAATAAATGTATTACGAAATATAAATGACTCTCAAACTGCTAACAATGGCCACCATGTTTTTCAACTGAGGATCCATAAGTCTGAAACAGTGAGGCTACTCTGCAATTATTTCACAGCCAGACTCTGCTTGATATTCACTCAGTCTTCCCTGATGGGGAAGCAAAACTCGCTTCTGGAAGAGGAGTAGCTGGAGTCTAGGGATGCCCGTCAGCTGGAACCAGCACCCAGAGGTGCGGCAAAGCAGGGCATATCTGCAGACACATGTACAAAAAGCAAATATTTTGTAAAGGCAAGATTTCACAAACTAAAACTTTATAATTAACAATAACATAGCAGGCTTCTTTCATGCCCCCATGCCAGCCAGCAATTCATTTTTCAATAGTAACCATTAATTATTTACTTAGAAGTTAATGTATAATGTGTGGAGGAAGGGTGATATAGGGCATTTAATGAAATCCTTGCAGTTGGAAGGAAGAAAATAAAAGTTCTTTCTAAGTTTGCATGTTTATAACATATAGACACATTTTCCCATAAGAAACTCCCAGAAAAATTGAAACCACATGTGCAGATGGCCAGGGAGAACTGGGCATGTTCAGAGGAAGGGAGAGGGAGAGATAGAAACATCAATGGTGAGAGTCACTGATGGGCTGCCTCTTGCATGCCCCCTACTGGGGATGGAGCTTGAAACCTGGGCATATGCCCTGACTCCAGCAGGGGAATGAGGCTGCAGCCAGGAACAAGGTTTCCTTCACCCCCACCCTGTTCCTTCGCTCTCCAAAAGTTACAAAGTGTGAGTTTCCTTCCTGATAACCCCAAGCCTTCCTCACTGATTGGTCTCAGTTTTAGAAAGGACGTGACATCAGCAGCTTTATATACTTGGGGCTAGGGGGCTGTTGTGGGCTTTAGCCAGTCTCCAGAGAGCTAGGTGGTGCGTGTATCTGAGTGTGTGTGTGTGTGTGTGTGTGTGTGTGTGTGTGTGTGTTTGTGTGTGTGTGTGTTTTGTTTTTAATTCAAATGTGATAAAATCTTACTACCACAGGTAGTACTCAGATTACTGTGCCTGTTCTTTTCTCTGTTGCAGACGGTTATTCCTACCATCTGACCAGGACGGTGCAGCTCAGCCAGCCACAGCACTGGAATTTCCCAGGAGCCGGGGGAGCCTGGAATTTGGACTTTTCCTGACCAACTGAAGTGGAACAGGGAGCTTGACTGACCCAGGAGAGCACAATGGATCGCGAACCACCAAACAGGATTGGCAGCAAGCCCTCAGGTGTAGGAGACTTTTCTGCCACCAGGTTTCTCTCAAATCCAATGATGGGAGGTGAGTCTAGGGGTTGTGGAATCAGAGTGCTGGGGAGGTTGGTTAATGGAGAGGAGAGAAGAGGGCTGGGCAATTTTAGTGGCTCATTAGGAGATATGTCCACGGGGCAGTTTGCTAGGCAGATGCACACGGCTTGCTAGTATATATTCTTTACACGATTGTTCAAAAATGTGTCCAGCATTATCTGCAGAGTCCTATAGACCATAGAGAGCTGTCAGTGTTTATTTTCTGGTAAAAACTTTAACTCCAAAGGTCAAATATATCACATTACATTGGAGGTTTAAAAGTTACTTATAAATAGAAACATTTTTTACTGCCAAAACATTTATTAAGAAGTTTTTGGTATTTGGAATTGACATGGGGCTGGGTTAATAAAGGATGTTCAAACATTGAGCACTGAAGTGATTAATTCACTTTAAAAGGAACCTTGCCAAGATGGTGTGGCTCAGTGGTTGAGTGTCGACTTATGAACCAGGAGGTCACGGTTCAGTTCTGGTCAGGGCACAATTCCAGGTTGTAGGCTCCATCCCTAGTGGGCGGCGTGCAGGAGGCAGCCAATCAATGATTCTCTCTCATCATTGATGTTTCTGTCTCTCCCTCTCCCTTCCTGGCTGAAATAAATAAAAATATATTTAAAAATACAAGGAACCTTATTTTTAAAAACTTTGGAGACAAATCTTACAGGAATGATTATCACCTGTTAGGTGGTGTCTTTGCTAATGTATAGAGTCTACACCTCCAGGAAACAGTCGTTTCCTGTGAGAATTCATCAGGTTCCTGCTAACTGAAAGTATTCTGAAAAAATGGTGGAGGCATTTGAGAAAAGATTATTATATCCAGCACCCTGGTAGACTGCTCATAACACTTGCAATCAGTAAGCAGCGACCCTGCAGTCAACTAGAACTTATTAATTTCTTACTATATAAGTGCCGAAAGGGGGAAAAACCCGAAGTAATAAGACACAAAATGCTTTTCCTCTGAATTAATTGAACAGATAAGACTGCTCATTCATTCATTCATTCATTCATTTTTCCCATTTTGCATGTAAAGTAAGCAGAACACTTAACAGTGAGTGGGATTTAGATCTGCAAAGGCAGAACTGGATTAATCATCTGGGTTGAGCATAGACTTGGAGCAGTAGAAAGCAGAGTGGCACCGAAAATCACTTTTTAAAATGAATTTGATAATAGTAAACCGATAGTAATATGGGAACCATATTAACCATAGTAAACCAATCAATATGGGAAAGAATCAGTAATTTAGTGGTTGACTTCCATAGGATTATTTTACAGTTAAGTATTATGTTTATTTTCATATGAGAGAGAGATGACAAACACTTTCCACTTTTGAGGGTTTCTAAAGGTCCCAATCCAAACCCTGGTTGGGGCTGGATGAGTGGGGTGGGGGTGGACAGGTGTAAGTATACTTCAAAATACAATACTTAAAAAGTGAACACAGCCCTAACTAGTTTGGCTTAGTGGATAGGGAGTCAGCCCGTGGACATAAGTGTCCCAGGTTCGATTCTGGCAAGGACATGTACTTTGTTGTGGACTTGATCCCCAGTAGGGGGCGTGCAGGAGGCAGCCGATTGATGATTCTCCCTCATCATTAATGTTTCTTTCTCTCCCACCTCTCTGTAAAAATCAATAAAAATACTTAAAGTGACCACACTGTCACAACTAGAATTCAGAGATTCTTAGAAAGTCTAGTGAGAACAGGTTTGGAGAGATGAAGCCCAATAATGAAACTTCAAAAGGTAGGTGGCAGAGTTAGCTTATGAGGCAGAGAATTGGGAGCCATCAGTGATTCTGGAACAGGGATCCAGCAATAATCAAGACTGGTAGCCATAATCAGGATGGATGATGGTGGGATCACGGAAAATTCTTGCGCTAACCCACAGGTTCTCAATCTCTCGTGCACCAGCATCCCCTGGAGGGTGTGATAAGATGCAGAGGCTGGGCCCCACCCCCAGGGCTTCTGATGCAGTGGTAGGTCCGGGATAAGGCTGGGAATCTACATTTATAAAAGGTGATGCTGATCGTGCTATTTGGGGACTACACCTTGAGAACCATTGCACCAATCCAAGCATGAACCTCACATTTGGATCAAACTTAGAAATGACAGAGAAAGGGAAAATAAGAGTGATCATTTAAAAAAAAAAGATAAATCAGTCTATGTTGCTTCATTAAATATTAGGGCTAAAGGAGAGAAAGCATCCCAAATTGTAAAGTTTTCAAGCCTAAATTAATGTCAGATAAGAGGGCTAGACAAAAGAGAAGTTGGGAGGGGGAGCTGCTTGGTAGCAGAATGAGGAAGGGAGATCTGTTTTGACCATAAAAGTTCCAATGGCCAATGCACAGCCTGATGATGTGGGACTGAGGCTGCGGAACGATTACAGGGCAGGCTCTGAATCGCATAGGGTAGGAATGAACCTAACCCAGTGGTCGGCAAACTGTGGCTCGCGAGCCGCAGGTTCCCGACCACTGCCCTATCCTATCACGTTCCAAAGACTGAAGGCATATGTTTCCACTCTCTTGAAGCATCTCTTTTTTCCGCCTTGACCTTGCAAAAGGTTTATTAGGATGGAAACATTCATGCTTCTGTTGGGATTCACTGGGGGGCTCTCGGAGCTTCTTTAATAGCTCTTTTTAGAATGTACCAATTAGTGCATTTTAAATCTCTTCTGAAATAATGGAAATTTAAAAAATGATTACAGAAATTACAACAAAAATGAAGTGGCAGCCTTTCTAATGTGCTGCAGGGTTTGATGGAGACTCAATTTGAAAGAAAGGTAAGTTTAATGGCACTAATTGGAGGACTTATGCAGTGTTTTTGTTAGGACAGCTTCCTGCCCCATTTTGGATCTATGGTATTGCCACTGACCTCATTTAGTATCTATTTTTTGGTGGTAAAACCAATAGACCCTGGCTGAACAAACGCTGGGGAAGAATCTTTAACATACTGGTACATCAAGGGCTTGGATAATGTGTTCTATACTGATAAAGGCTCTTGAGTTTCAAAGAGTTTGGGGTCAGTGGAAAGGGGATTGTGACCTTGAATCTCCCTTTCTTCCATAGTCTCCTACTGTGAGCATCGCCCATGTTCTGGTAGGAAAATGTCCCCTTTCCCATTGATTTTCCTC